TGGAAAGAGTGAGGGGAAAAAACTGGTTTATAAAAGGAAGAATGAGAACCAAGCAAATGCAAGTGGTTGAAAGATGATACTTCCAGGAGTAAATAGTTGTCATAGTAACTTGAAAGAAATAAAAGAACGTGAAGAAAGAGCGTACAATTACAAATGAGACACGGTGTTTTCTACTCCGTTTTTATTTTCAAGAAAATGAAGAAAATGTCTTCTTTTATTTTCAATTTTGTGCTTCATTTAGAAAATGTTTTCAGAAAAAAATATTTTTAAAAACTACAACAAACATTTTTGTTTTCAGTGAAAATGAAAATAGAAAACAGGGAAACCAAACAACCCCCAAGTTTCTCACCCTTTTCTTTTCAATATATTTTCCCTCATTTATAACCCGTCTAAACAAAAGATAAAATGTGAAGGAATCGTAACCAACGTCTTCATGCCCCAAAACACATAATCACCAGGCACAGACCAGACATTCCTTCTTAAGAAAATTCCTTCCAACATCAAATTGCTTTCCTCCCGCATACAGCATCAGTCTTTGTTCTAAAGACCATATTGGAAGCACTTTGATTGTGTTAACAAAAAGGTCAGCAAATTGAAATCCTTGGCAAAATGCAAATTGATGAAAATTCATTAATTACAGAAGCTAATTTTTCCAAAGAAAAGCATCATATGAAACCCATCTTTCATGCAGGAGGTATAGATCAGCACAACATTAGATGGACACAATCTAGTATACACATCAACAATGACATTTCACTATCTATACCCAAAACCCAAGTCTAGCTCTTGTCCATACATCCCACCCTGGCTGTGACCTGAAGCATGGATTGGCTTTGGGTTTGACCTCAGCTCCATCTCAAAAAGCCTCTGAAGTGCTTCCGGATGATTTCTTCCACCACCAACATCAGGACCTAATAAAATAGCCAAAAAGAAAATCATGAATCGAAAATAGAGCAAGAGACTGATAGTCAAGAAAATAAAAATCAATATCAGAGATTATCTCTTCCACCCAAGTGTACTAGATTACGTGGCTTTGAATGAATATCGTTAGTTTGTTCGGAAATTAGAAGCAACTGTGTAAACTGGAACAAAGCAATAACTAATAATGAACTGTTGAACCGATGGATAGGTATGTAATGTGTGCACAGATGTACCTGATTATGTGCACTAAGTGTGGATTGTTGTGCTCATGCGTACACACAAGTTAGTGGATGTATCCATGTCATGTCATGGGAGGGTCAGACTAAGGACCCCTTTGGTATTCAAGATGAGATGAGATAAAATAAGATAAGAGTAAAATATGATAAGAACAAGATAAATTTTAATCTCATCAAATGTTTGGTGCACACCAGGATAACAAACCAGATAATATTATTTTAGTGTGTTATTTATTTGACATAGACCAATAGGATAAACAATTCATATTTCATAATCATCCAAGTGTATGGAATTAAATGTTTTATGCATTCAAGTTAGCTACGATAATCATGCAAAAGCAAGCACATTAGTAATGTACTAATGTACCTCAAATGTTTTACCTTGTAATTGCATTCCAGGGCCACCAAAAGTAGGATGCTGATGACCACTAAATGGGAAGCCTTGCATTGGGTTTGGTTCCTGCATGAAACCTGACATTGGATTGTTGGGGTGAGCTGGCATAGGTGCACCCCTTGGGGGGAATCCACGTAATAAATGAGGTGGAGGAAGGTTCCCCTGCATATGCATCTGTTGTAACATAGAATGATGAACAGGAGGATCAAACCCAGATAGCCCACTGCTTGGTTGATGGAAAGGAGGACGAAGCATATTTCCTGGAAATTGATGATTTGGTGGTGAATCATGATGAACCATGCCCTCAGGAGTTGGAAGCTTCATATAAGAACTAATATGAGGATGATGAGAATCCATTTGATTAAACATTGGACCACCGTGATTCAACTGAGGGTGGAGCTGTCGTTGGGCATTATTAAGATTCTGATATGGAATACCAGGTTCCCTCACATCAAAAGGACCATGGGGGTATGCTAGGCCTTCTTGATTTCTTGTAATCATTCGTTCATCTCTGAATGCAGAATTCAGAGCTGCCAGTTTTCTAGTAATGTCAACAGTTGTGTCTTGGGACAAATCTGTTTTAACTGAATTTCCAGCAGATAAAAAGTTTTGCAGAGGATCACTGGCTGCAATCAAGTTATCATCTTCTGGAAGGTGAATATCACGACACCCATTGAAACCACTAGCCTTGGAAAGTTCACTCTGAAGTAATGACGAATTAACATCTCCCTGAGAATCACCATAGCCCAACCACTGCTCTTCAAATCTATTAGGTTTAGGTTGATTTGTTTGTTCCGATGGCAGGACACCACTTCCATGCCTGTTCAGGGTAAGTTCACCTGTAGGAGGGTGAACATTGTCTGACATAGGGAAAGGAAACAAAAGAGACTCTGAAACATCAGCCCCTGCAGATCCAACTGAACCCCTTTGAACAGAAAGGGGTGCTCCAACTGACTGCAGCTCCTTCATAAAAGCTGACCCAAAAAGTGTTTCTAGTGTCAATGTCTTTGATGAATTGGAAACATCTGCATTTGCTTCTCCAGGATTATCAAGATCGTTTCCAGTAGTGACTCCTTCAATGTTAGGCACCTTGTCAATTGGATCTAAAATAGACGATAGTTCCATATCATTATGTGAGGTTCCTTTCTGTAACAAAGAAAGGAGGTGTTGGGATGCATGATTATCAATTGAATTTGACAGTTCAGTTTTTGCATCAAAATCCTTATCCTGAATGGGCTGCTGACGTGATGAACCATTTTCGCTAACTTGTGATAAAATTGACTGTTCTAGATCTTCACATGTAAGAACTGCTGGTAAAACCTCTGGTTTATCACTCTTGTACAATTGCTCAGAGTTGTCAATGGTGGTATGTGCTGCATTTGATGTCATATGCTCACTAGTTGGTTCAGGATTTAGGTAAGATGTTTCTACATTAGAAGTCTGCAATCCCCCTTTTTCACCACCAACAATAAGTGAGAGCAAGTCATTTGGCCTCTGTGTCATATCATCCACTGGCTTTTTTTCTGCAGTAAGGTGGACAGGAAATGAACAAATAAGTTAAAATCACATCACAAAGTACAAATTGAAAAGCATAAAAACATTCAAAGCACTAAAGCACTTCTATAAATTATTACTATACCTTCTTCAACAAACCAATGAGCAAACTTGGATGATTGGAAGGCATGTGGACTCCATGTCTCATCTGCTTTATGGTCAGGCTGCTATAAGAGCAATAACATAAATAATCAAATCCATAATAAATGTTACTCCCTCCGTTGTCTTAGATTGTTTTACACAAACCAAGAAAAACTAATAAATAAATGAAAGTGAATAGTGATTTTACAAAATTAACCTTATAATTAATATTCTTTACTAAAAACGAAGCAACATAATAATTTTTTAAAGAATATTATGAGGTATAAATGGAAAATAGACAATTAATAATTTAATACTACATTAAAAAGCTAACATACACTTATTTCACGACGTATTTTTTCTTCAAATACAACTCTTCTATGGGACACAAGGAGTACTATAGAATGAAAGTGAAAAACAAAACACTTGTTCAAACCACAACGTATATAGCCAAGTAAGTCAAGTATCTGTTTTCACAAAGATATCTGCTGGCTGTCATTTCTATATTTATCAACCCCAAGGACATGAGGCATAATGGAATGCAGATAATAAGTTCAGTTAACACTTTCTTGATATTACTTGAAGGAAATTCCAATAAGTTTCACAATTACCTCAACAATACTAGTAGATTTGTCACTGTCTAGTGTTGAAGCATTACCAAAAAGCTTGAATAGGATAGAATTTGAATTGTCTGGAATGAAAGCTCCCACGGCCTCCTTTCCTTTCACTTCAGCATTAAGTTGAATAAATTCATTGTCATCTGATGCTTCCAAGACTTCTGAAAGAGCAGATCTCTTCCTCAATTGATCACCCATTCCGATTTTAATTTTGGGAATATCCAAAACCGATGATAAATTTAAAATGTTTTCTTTCTCATGGTTAATTGAAACATTTGTATTTGTAATTTGAAGATTCTGTTGATCATTATCTGCTTGCTTGGTTAATAATTGTCCTTCTTTATTGTCAGAATTTATATTAAATACATGGTTACCTTTGGTATCACCAGGTGCCAGTTGTCCAACCTATGCAAGCATCAGAAGAATAAAATATGTATTAAAAAAGAGCCAAGAATAATGGGATATATAATAATAAAGCATACTTCATTTATCAGTGATAAAGTGACATGTCAAGCAAAAGATCAACACATAATCTGGTGTCCACATGCTATGCTATTATATGGTTTTAAAAGTTAACTTGGTAAATATTTAGAGAGATATTAGACCTCCCTTCTCACTCTAAACTGAGTCCTCGTGTTCTAAGCCTGAGCAATAAATAATGTGGCAAAATCCTACAATGTCCTCCATATTGATTCAGCATCAAATAGGCAAAGAGGCAAAATCCTAATCTAATTAAGGTAGAGACTCTAAATATAACCTTTCTGTCATACAAAATTCAAATGTTGACATTGGAATTTCGTACTTGGACATTAAACATTTCAGCAGTAGGTTTGCCAACTGGTATAACACACATCCACAATTTAGTCTCTTGTATCATCTCATGCAATATTACCAATGACAGTCAAATTACAGGTCAGTACAACAAACCATCTCCTTACTCATTTGCACTCTTCCTTGATTAGAGGTTGCTCTATAAAAACCTTGAAATCTCTTAAAACTTTTTTAAATTATCATGATAAATGAAACTAAGCTTCAAATAAAATAACATTAAAATCAAAATTAGCTATGATGTCAGAATCTAGGGTTTGGTGTGTCTTGAAATTCCCAGCATTGAAGAAACTAGTGTCTCAAATAAAGCCACCATTCACTTTCAAGCTATATAACTTTATAAGACTAAGATAGACAGTCAAGTCAACCATCACTTTGAAATCCTTTAGTGACTTTCTAACAGATTTATGTCTGCAGGGCAATTATGGTGAACTACACCACAAAATTTCATCTATGATATTCCCACCTCAAAATATCACTAAGGACTTCGTTCTCAAACAATAAATACTAACTTTCTATCATCATTATTAACAGTAATAACAAAAATTCCCTCCACCAGACATAACAGTTATTAAAGACAATATCAAAAATTTAGAAGTGAAACCAAGTTGAATGCCTAATTCAAAGAAACTAATTGTTTAGCTTAACATTCAAAAAATAACAGCTTTTAAGAATAAATAAGCTACAAAAGGCAACAACTAAGATGTGGATATTTAGAAGAGTTAACCAGTTACCTCTGCTGCATGAGTGTTAAAGGGTGTTTTGGTTGTCAAATTCCGTTCCATCTTTGTACTTGCAAAACCAGGAGGTACAAGTGGTCTTGCTGCTGAAGGAGTCTGTGAAACAGAAGACTTCTCATCATGGCTTAAAGCTGCCAGTGTAGGAGGCTCCACAGACTCATTGCTCTTACTGACTATCTTTTTCTCATCATCGTCAACAAGTGAAGTTATGTCAAAATCATCTTTATTCTTGCCGGGATTCAACTTATGCTTTTCTTGGAAAGTTTTCTGCTGTTCCTTTCTCATCAATTCAAAAGAAGCTGCAAGAAAGTTGACATCCATTTAGTCCAAAATTCACTAAACATAAAAACTTAACAATGAACCTAATTATAAAGGTAAACAGATCTTCTAAAGCCATAAATAATAAGAAATTCTGCATCCCACAATATCTTCTAAAAACAAATGGTTACCTCTTCTTTTTCTTTCCTCTTCAGCCCTGTCTTCACTTGTATACTCCAAAGAACCAAATGTTTCATCATTATAAGAGTCATTAGTCTCCCGACGTGAATGAGGTGCCTGGAAAGTATCCAAACCCAAACAAAAAAGTACCAGAAATTGAAGTTAGTAAAATTACATACCATTTCAATACTATCCATGGCATCACCACATTAAATGAATATCATACTTGAGTGTTGATTGAGACATTTTGGAAGTAATCAACATTGCAATGTTGCCAGCATACAGCTGTCAGAGATATAACAACTACAACTAACCTTATAAGGGCGAGGAGGATGATAAGGCTCATTGGACCGATTTAGCTGGTGGTTATCATTAGCCCGAAATTTTGGAGCAGACAACCCAGGGGTATACCCAGAGGGGCGTGGAAAAGAACCACTACCTAGAAGCCCATCATGCTCAGGACCTTGCCAAGATTTGCGAGACTGGTTGCCAAGACGTTTTCCAGAATCTGCAAATAGACACAAACAACGAAATAGATCAAAAGAACACTTTACAGCAGAAACTTCTACTTCAACACATGTCAATGTCATAGTTATACGGGAGAAAATCATATCAATCCAAACAGTTGTAATTTGTAGATAAATAAGGATTCTTCCATTATAAAAAGGAATATTCTTGCTGAACAAGTGTAAAAACCTGAATCCCATTCAGATTGAGAATCACTGTCTTTATCAGATCGTCCAGAAGATCGAGTTTCCCATTTTCCATGTATTCCCCGCGAAAAGCTATCCCCTCGAGTGGGAGGAGATGAACCATATTCACTTCGTCGACTAAAACTATGCATTGACAAACCACCTGTACTTCTCTGCCGATCTTGAGAAGCATCTTCAAATTCACTGTTTCCCAAACAAATAAATAAAAAACAAATATCACTTACAAAAGCAATACATAACACAATAATGGAAGACCACAAATTGATAAAAAAGATGCAACATAATTGAAATGAATAATGCAGCATTCCAGCAGAAGAGCATTGAGTTGCATCCATCATACCAGGTAGAAATAGATGATACAGCACAACAAACATTACCTTAAAAGTGATCGATCAAACCCATTAGGCAACTCTTGGCATATATCCAATCCACTTAGCGATAGCAAAAATTCCCTTGTGTATGAAATTTTTAACTTCCTGAACCAGCACAAGCAGGTAAGTGTTACAACATGTGTTATTTTGATTTTGATGAAAAACATAAACAACAAGCAAAAAGCTGATCAAATAAGAAAGGTTACTTTTGCAATCCTTGATCAGTTGCCTGATCTAACAAGCTCTGATCTTCACCTTCAAAGCTCATTTTGTTCTCTCAACCCAATAATTCCTCTCCACAAAGTTGATGAAAATAGCCAAATATTCCCAACCAATGTATAATGCAAAGTATCAACCACAAACAGCACTAGTCAATAGTCATCATCAGTCATATAATTCACAACACAAGCTCAGCCTCATGAAAACTATAATCAAATACTCTTCTGCTCCCAACACCAAACACAATTAAAAAAAAAATCTTCAATTATTCTAGTGCAAGCACGAGGACGATTCTTGCTTATCCATCATCCGCTTCTACAATCTATGATACGAAATTCTCCAAAGCAAAAAAAAAAAAAAAAAGAACCTAGAACCAATATACACAGGCAAAACTCCAGTCACTGATCCAACTCAATCAACAAGACCCACCATCCAAAACCCTCCCAAGCTTCCTCCTTTGTGAAAAATTCGCAATACCCATCACCTAAACAAGACGAAAACCGCTCTCTCCTTCAATGAAATTCACGAGATAGATATATACATTTCATGGCCCACAAAATCAGAACACGAAATCATGGGGAAAAGAGATTCAATTCAAAAATTTGCGGAACACCCATGAAAAATAGTTCCACGGAAGAGCCCACCATCCAAAACCCTCCCAAGCTTCCTCCTTTGTGAAAAATTCGCAATACCCATCACCTAAACAAGACGAAAACCGCTCTCTCCTTCAATGAAATTCACGAGATAGATATATACATTTCATGGCCCACAAAATCAGAACACGAAATCATGGGGAAAAGAGATTCAATTCAAAAATTTGCGGAACACCCATGAAAAATAGTTCCACGAAAGAGCGAAAGGGGCCATAATCATTGAAGGGTTTGTGTCTAATCTAAAACTCCGCCATGAAAAGAAAGAAAGAAAAAAAAAAGATAAGAAAAACTAGGGTTTTGGATTTTTACAGAGGGCCTGTGTGGATCAAGGGTTACAGAGAAAATGAATCACCGAAACGGTGTGGAATCGAAATCTGGGGGAGATTTGGCAGTGATGGATCGCGGAGGAAGAGGGAGTGAGCGAGAAGAGAAAGAGATTTGAAGTGAGACAGAAAATTGTTACTATTATGTTATGGTATTATAATTATCTACGGCAACCTATGAGATAGGAATGCCTTTTTTCTTCTACGATGATAAATACTATTAGTAATAATTATAATTAGTGTCTTAATCTCTCTTTTAAAATGATATTTAATTTTTACTCTACTAGAATTATACTATATATATCCTTGGTAATGAAAAACAACATACTATACATAGGAATTATGGTTACTCCAGTTTATTTTGCAATGTTATTCAGTTAATGACTCGTATACTTTTTTTAGAAAAACAAGTGATAACTATGTGATTAAAATACAAAAGTTGCTTAAAATTTACTTTCACGGTTTATCAAAAATAATTCGGCTAAAATAGTATTTTAGTCCCTTATAATAATTGTTTGTTTCAATTTAGTTCCACTTTTATTTTTTGTTTCAATTTGGTCCCTAATAAATTAATTAGTTGCAATGTCGGACTTACATCCAAATTATTTAAACGGAGTTAACTGTTGGTCACTTGAATGTCACGTAGATGCATAGGTGGATGCCAGGTGAATGCCAAATTTTTTGAAAATACCTAGAACCAGGACGGCTCATTCTGAAACCAGAACGGCCCGTTCTGGTTTCAGAACGGGCCGTTCTGGTTCCAGGTGTTTAAAAAAATTTGGCATTCACGTGACATCCACCTATGCATCTATGTGACATGGTATTTTTTCTTGAAGTCATTAACGATGTACCCCAACAACAACGACCTGTTCTTGAAGAGATAGAACCTGAAGTAAAGGAAGAAGATACACAGGACTAACATTTCACAACACAATCACATGCAGGACGAATCTAAGTTAATCATAATGGGGGTACTTGCCCCCACTAAAACATTTTTCATTCTTTTTTATATATAAAATATTAATTATTTTACAAAATATATATTATTAGTTATATTTTAATTATGTTGTTATATCTAATATAATAAATACATTAATATTTTTTATATATTTTATTTTATTATTTAGTTGTTTTTTATTTTGTGGTAAAATTATTCTTCATTTTTAATGAAGAAAAAATTTACTTACTTCAAGAGTAAGTCTTGATAGATTTATTCTACTTAATAATTAATGTTCTATATCAAATTTTTAAAAATTTAATTGTTAAATTAAAAAGTTTTTCATGTATAGATCAAATTTATAAAAAAAATTTAAAAAAATTAAAAAGCATATGATACTTCGTTAAATTAATTCAAATTAACATATAAAATATTTTTTGTTTTAAATGAGTGTAAAAATTTAGAAGACACTAAAATAAAACAAATTAATAATTTTATTATGTTTATTCTATTAATTTTTATCATTTTATTCCTTTAATTTTAAATAAGTTGCAAAAAATTATAAAGTGACACTTAAATATTTCTTCAGACAGAAAGAGAAAAAGGAAAAGTTATTACTCTATGTATAAGACAATTGCATTTTATAAAAATAAGTAATTTTAAAAATTTTACCATAAAAAAAATATTTTTCAAAATTATTATATTTTTTAATAAAATTAATATAGAATATTTTATTGTTTTCACTTAACAATGTTTTGAAATGGACCGTTCCGTTCTGATGTACTGCAGTGTGTTAATTTTGCATCTAGAACGGTCCATTTCATATGCAAAATTAATACAGAGTGCACCCAAAACGGCCCGTTCTGGTTTCAGAACGGGCCGTTCTAGTTCTAGGTGTTTTCCAAGAAATTTGACATCCACGTGGCATCCACATATGCATCTACGTGGTATCCACGTGGCCAACAATTAACTCCGTTTAAATAATTTGGACGGAAGTCCGACATTGAAACCAATTAATTTATTAGGGACCAAATTGAGACCAAAAATAAAAGTGGGACTAAATTGAAACAAACAATTATTATAAGGGACCAAAATAGGTTTTTAGCCAAAATAATTCCTACATCAACGACAGATAATATTTAAGTACAAAAATTTGTAACTAAAATAAAAATATTAAGATACCACCTTACTCTATAGACTCGAAAGAATTATATTTTTTATCCAAAAAAAAATGTTAAAGTGCAAAACATACTTAAAGAGGCTACTTAAGATCTATTTGCACCATTAAAGGAAATTTATAATTAAATAATAATTTTAGTTTTAATTTTATCAAAGTTAAAGATGGTTTAAAATTATAATTTTTTATGTTTGAGGTATATAAAAAATGACAGAAATTATAATTGTAAGTCGAATTTTATTTTTTATAACCTAAAAATAAAAGTAATTATTATGGACATAAGGTTGTATCTAACTAAAACAAATAATTATATTAACAACAATAACAGTTGAAAGAGTAATGGTTTTGGTTCGTTGAAAGAGAAAATGATGATTGTAACAATTAATGATTATGATAATTCATAATAATGAGAGGAAAGTAACTATAATAATAACAATAATAATAATAATAATGACAATAATAATTAAAAATATATATTAAATGTTAGTAAATGATTATTAATAATAGACAACAATGATGATGCATTAGTGAAAACACTCCTAAATTGAAACATGAATTCATAAATTGCAACAAGTGGTTAAAAGAAAGATGAATTCATTGTTGAAACATGAAATCATTAAGATTGGGAATACCTTGTCTGACACTTTAATCATGTGATTTTCTTGTCCTATTCATTTGCCTTCCCTGTTGTTGAGACATATGATGGGAACTTTGTATTCAAGAGATATTAATTTGTTTTTTCTTCTATTTTGTTGTTTCTATTTTCCCATTAATAAAAAAAATTGTAATAAGTAGTGATCATAATGAGAAGATAAAGACTATAATAATAATAATAATAATAATGACAATAACGACAAAATAATATTACTATTAATTGTGAATGATAAAAAATAATAGAGAAAACAATAAAAGTTGAATAATGTAAACAATGTCCAATATAAGTGTGGACTTAAAATATTTGTATTCAAATAAAAAATAATAGTTAAAGAATGTTAATTTTTTATATATTAGAATATCATACGATTAAAATTTTGAATTGATTTCAATTAACAATATTTCTTAACAACAAAATTATAATTCTAAAATTTAGTTTCAATTTGAAGTCTTGCATTTATACCATTTTTATATGTCTAGTAGAAATTAACAAATTTTATTTTTTATGATTATTTAATACAACTTAAGATTTTGATAGGTATTAATGTAAAAAATTTAATCAAGGTTAAGTTAGAGACACAACTTGTGACACTCTCCATCTTGAATATATTTATTAACCAAACATTATGAAAATTAATTTGTAGAAATGATATTTTCATAATAACAAATAACAATTGTGAGCAAAGAACACTACATCACATTAAATTTAAAGTAGTATAAAATTTTGTTAAATTATAACATTTTTGACACTTAAGAAGTCATTAACAATTTAGTTCAAAATCTAAAGTTGCATGACATAAAAACATAAATAAATAAATAAATACTCAAGCATTTAGCCCAAGCGTTACATCCTACTAGACCATTCAAAACCCAGAGAAAACATGACAAAAATAATTGATGACTAAGTCTCCTAAGTAACATCATCATCAACATAGCCTTGTCAGACATTACTTACATGACACATTTATAGAGAAGACACTCAAGAGAAGAAAAAAAAGTGAGATATATCTCACAACATGCTCAAGTGCATACACACACGAGCAATTAAACATTCATACACATTATTCACCAATTTTATCACATGCAAATTCTGCAATGTATTTTCTTTTATTCTTATATCTCATATATTAATCAAGCTCAATCTCAAGATGAAGATATCAAGTGTTTTGATGATTACAAATATGTAGTACATGTAATAGCATATTGAATGATTAAAGTACAATTGTATCTTGTTATGTGTTTATGCTTTGTTGAATGTTTATTATGTGCTTTTTAGTTAATTTAGTTTTTACTCAAAATAATTGATTATCACTTAAAATAATCGATTATTTTTTTCAATTTTCAAAATCTCGGGAACATTGTTGTAATAATCGATTACTAGAGAAAAAATAAATTATTTCATAAGTAACTCTCTAGAATAATAGATTATTTTGAGAAACAAATGATCTAGTTATTTTTTGTATGTTTCTAGATCTGAGAAGAATAAAATAATGGATTATTCATGAAAATAATCGATCACTTCTATCAGAAAACTCTATATATCATTTTTCACTTTTCGAACTTAAAGAAGTAGAATCTTTGTGATATTACTTTTGATAAAACTCTCTAGAAAACATGTATCTATGAAAGAAGAGGTAACCCTTTGTGGGAACCTCGAGAAAAAATTAATAAATTGAATTCATTTTCATCATCATCTTCATGAAGATATAAGTCAAGCTACATTGTTTGATTCACCTATCTGAATTGTGTTGTACATCAAGTGAATTTGTTCCTCAATCTCTTTGTAACTAATTTTCTTAAGTAGGTTTTCTAAGAAAAAAAGTCTTATAGTAGAGTGTTACAAGAGGAAACTTCTTGGAATGCAAGAAGTGGTTTCTTTAAATATGTAGATATA